GAGATCAGTGGATTGAAGCTTTGCAGAGCTCAGTGAGGATTTAATCTGATCAATGTTCAATTAAAACGTTTCAGTTTGAACCAAACTTCAGTCAGAAAAAGTCCAATTTTACACACACGAGAAACACCAAAGTTTCAACGACCTGAAACATGGAAAAACACGCGAGGAGCAACAGGAGGAGGAGAGAGGAGGTGAAAGGTGCCACTGTTCACTACAACCACGAGGAGCACAGCAGAGAAGGACACAGAGGAGGTGGAGGAGAGGCTTAATGAACGGAGAGGAGGTGAAAAAGGTTCCACAGCTTTTACAGTTTTACATGAGAAAGAGCGGAAAGGAGGTGAGCGAGGAGGTGCTGGAGGAGGTGCTGGAGGAGGTGAAATCATGGAACTGTAGAGCAAATAAAAGAGACGAGGCAAAGTAAAGACAGAGAAGGAGCTGCAACATTTTTAAAGTGTCAGAGCAGAGGAGCAGAGACGAGGAACGGCAGCTTCATCACACTTACACACAGCCAGGTGAGCAAGAAGAGGTGGTGGAGGTCTTACCGTGGTGGTGCAGGGCCTGCTGGGATGTGGGGGCGGGGGCAGGACAGAAGTGAGAGTCTGCGGAGCTGCGACTGAGTTTATCAAGCCTCCACCTCCTCCATCCATCCCTCCATCCCAAACAAGGCTCTGAGCCCCCTCCCGTCTCCTCCCTCCCCCCGCGCCTCCCCCACTCTCCCCTGCTTCAGTCCTTATAGGGCAGGCCTGGAGGGAAGCAGCCAATCACACGGCTGGTGGAGCCCCGGACTTTCTCCCATCATTCACTGCATTCCTCAGAGAGAGAGGAGCGCCGAGGGCTCCTGGAGATCACACAGCCAGAGTAATCAGATTACACAGCCAGAGTAATCAGATTACACAGCCAAAGTAATCAGATTACACAGCCAGAGTAATCAGATTACTCAGTGAAAGTCCTACTTTCACTGTGATTGGGGTTGAAGTATGAGCAACTCCTCTGGCAGTTACAATGATGAGTGAATGAAACGTGTGCATCGCCCCCTGCAGGCTGCTGGCGGTATGCCTCATAAGCCCCGCCCCCTCCACGTTAACAGCTGGGATATGAACCAAAATTAAAATAAAAAAAATATAATAATTAAATAATAAATAATTTCTGCCAGATAAGGCTGAAGCATTTCCTTTTTCATGACTTCAGTTTGGACTATCAGGGGCGTGGCCTGTCCGACTGAAGGGTGGATGCTAGGCCACGCAGGTGCATGCACACCTGCAGAGAAGAGGCAAGACCTGTGTTTGAGCGACGGCCGAGCGCAGCGGTCACCTGGATTGTGATGCGCCGGAGCTGATTGGCAGCACGCCGTACTCACAGTGAGCTCTGTTACTGCGAGTCCTGCGTTCAGGTGGGCCTCGGCACCTGCAAGCCGCTGTGCAACCCGCCTTGTCCTCAGTGTTTCTTCTCTCCTTTTAATATTGAGCTGAGCGACGCAGACATATTGATGCTACTTGATGTTTGGTGTGGCGGACTGGTGACTGCGTGTTTGTTCCAGCTGTTCCAGCTGTTCAGCCACATGTCTGCAGGGTGTTCCTGGGCCTCTGAGTGGATGGAGCAGGGTCGTGCTGACAGTCTCACGCCTCAGCCTCCCCGACACCCTGCCTGTCCTCACCCTCCGTCTCCAAGGAAACTCGACACGGTGGGCATGCGTTTCTGATGTTAGCGCTGCGACAGACTTCAGCTCAAACTCTTTTTGCTGTTTTCACCACGTTAACAAACTACATGTGACCCCGTCCTGGTCCTGGTCCTGGTCCTGGTCCTGGTCCTGGTCCTGGTTCAGCAGGTGCTGAAGTGCAGCTGTGTTTACTGTCAGCAGCTGGTCTTTAAAGAGAGAGAATGACCTCCTTTCAGCTGCTCACACACACACAAACACACAGACACACACACACACACACACA